AACTTGGTGTACTGTTTCCATTGGAAGTAGAATTGAAGTGAATTAATGTTAAAGTTTCATTGTATGACCAAATATCACGCTTATTATCCATTTTTGAACGGCTTATACTTTTAACCTTTTAAAGAATAATGGAAAGGTTGGCGATATTTACTTTTAATCTATTTCAGTCGTTTCCACCGACTAAAATTTAATGTCAATTCGCTGCCACTCTGGTAGAAGTTGTGGATCGAAGTGGAAGTGAAATGAGCAGAGTCAAACGTATTTCCATCGAGTTAAATTTGGTTCTACGCCGCATTAGGTGCGAATTAATGCTTCGGTGGAAACTAGACCACAGTTAAACAAACTTAATTTTGCTTCTAAAATCTCATACGTGTCAGGAATCATGCGAAAATGTTCACGAAATTGCTTTGCTGTTAGGCCTGGAACGGTTCTGTCTACGTAATCTAAGATACGCAATAGCTTCTTTCGTGGCCCACGCAATGCGTGGCTATGCTGATATTTTGTCTGAAAAATAATATCTTATATTTCCTCGTCTGTCTCGCTATCATTCATTATATTTAAATTAGATTTTAAGAACTCGTCGCTAGTATTTACAACTACAGAAATTAAACGTTTTCGACGTAACTCAACACTGTCCATTTTGAATTTGTACATTTGATATTTTGGTAGTCGTTCGAAAACCAACAGTTCTCTAAATTCCCCATTACCCCCATCAACGCATCCCTAAGTCACCTCACTTGCGCCGGCAGACGACGTTTTCGAACGCAGCCCATAGGGTGCTTTCGAGGAGATGCTATAAATGCTACAGACGCAAACGCTACAAACTCTGTTTGGAAACCCAATAGCACGATAACGTTAGTAAGCTCCCCAAACATTTTAAGCAGAAAGTAATATTAACGCACATTCAACATAGCCGATGTTAGTGTAACCTGGTGTAACCGAAATGAATAAAAATCGCACATTAAATTAATTAATTTTCACATTATTTTACCTACAACTTATACTTGATCATAATAACGCGGCAAATAACATACTTATATAACCTATATTCTCAATTATACTAGAAGATTTACGGGTTATCGCAGTGTCTTTCTTCATTATTAATGTAACATTATTAAGGGTCGACAGGAGTGACCCAGAGATCTCTAGAGTCCTAGATATCAGAGAAGCGCAACCGGCTTAAGTCAGTATCGCAAAATTACTAAGAAAAGTATTAAAAATAGCGTCGTTTGCAGACGAAATATGAAATCCACCAATCGTCTATTAGTCAGCCATTTTTAATACCACTGAATGAATGTCATGATTGGCCATGGACATAGAAATATAGGGACAGAGCATTAGCTCCGAAGATAGGCGAGGGGGGTTATTCTGAAATGCGGGGGGAGTACATGCCTAAATTTTATTGGCTACAGCTATGCGCATGCTCAGTATCGTGTAACATCTACTTAGCGGCCAATCGCAAATAAATGATCGAAACAAAATGATAAAAATTTGATGTTAAAAAATTAATTGTAACCCATTACCAATAAGATTAACAAAATAAAACAATAATTAGAAATCTGAGAAGGAATTATATAGAAGTTCTAATGAGAAAAATAAAAATATGTACTCGTATTCAATATTAAACAATTACTATTTATTTGGTACTTTTATTCACTATGAAAAAATTTACTAAATTTTAATAAATATTTCTTTGAATAGTTCCAGCGAAACATTTAATAAATTTAAAGACGTATTTATTAGATCTAAGAATCATTAGTTTGAATCAACTATCATTTTTTTCATTTATCTAAATATTTATTTACCATAAGTAAATATTCCATTAGGACACTTCAAAGAAATATTTATTAAAATTTAACACTACAAATTTTTTTCTTAGTGTAGATAAAAAAAATACAAATTAGGATTTTAGATTTATATAGATGGATTATATAATACTACGTAGAATAAAAATTATAGAATTGAATTTTTCCATAACATGTGATATTGCTTGAAAATGTGAAACCAAAATTTGTTATACTCTTCTCGAGAGTAACATTTATAAAAAAAGAAACGTATTAAAATAAATTAATAATAATAATAATCCAAGGCAATATACGTATTAAAATACTTAAAAGCTATGCAGAATAAAAGGAACAGAGAACAGAGTATAATAAAAAAAATACATAAATTACAATGTAATTTTACGATTTTTGTTCACACTGTTTGTCCATTTCCAATTTTAAATGTCGGATGTATTTCTACAATTTGGTACACAACATTGCACCATTTTAATTTCAAGATATTATGTGAGAGCTAAGCCGAGAAAAAATGTCAGGACTTCACCGGTGCTGAGACTTGAACCCAGTTAGAGGTTAGAGTTGCATGCACATATATAACACTTGTCACTTGCGCATGCGTACAATAACAGCCAATCAGACTTAGGCATGTATTACCTCGTCGCACCGTCCCGCAGTGGCTTCCCCCCCGCAACGTTATGCTCTGTCCCTATATTTCTATGTCCATGTGATTGGCTGACAGTCAGCTAATCAGGACGCGGAACATCGGTTGCGCTTCTCTGATATCTAGGACTAAACCTCTAGTCGAAGATGAATTTTTTATTCCCAAATTATGGCTAAAATACTGGATGGATCACGTTTTAATTGCGATATTCGTAATCAGGAAAGGCTCCTGAAGGCTCGTACAGAACTATTGTTTTTGTAAAAAGGGCATAATAAAAATTTGTTCTGTTATCTCACTCGAAGTGTACTATGGTGCAGTTGAGTGCTGTATACATGATCTTATTTTAATAAAAATTTTCAAGAATTAATTTGCAAATCTGACTCTGTACGAGCCTTCCCAGCAATATAACAATGAAATCTCAACAGGTTTTATAAGGAAATTTTATTTCTTTGAGAAGAAAAACGAGCATAACTGATCTAGATCTGCACTGATCTGCACTCAATAAATGTTACCTTTATTCCCAAATTATGGCTAAAATATAACATGAATCGTGTTTTGATTGTGATATACGTAATCAGAAAAGACTCCTGCAGGCTCGTACAGAATTATTTTTTTGTAAAAAGACATAACAAAAATATTTCTGTCACTCCTGTCGACCCTTAATAATGAAGAAAGACACGGCGATAACCCGCAAACCTTCTGGTATAATTGAAGAAAATACCCGTGAAAATACCCGATAACTAGCAACTGGTATTATCTTTATCGTGTTAATAAGCGCTACATATTGTAAGCAGCCATGCCGAGAAAAATGAACTATGTACTGCGGCAGTATCAGTAATTTTATATAATGCATTATTGTACGTGTACATTTTCTCGTATACGTTCGACATTTTCATAAAAATGTCCAAATTCTATCAAGTCTGCAACACGTTACGCTCACTGAGGGTGCAAACCCATGCAGCGGAATAGCGTAAAGTAGTGACCCTCTAATAAGAGTCTGGCCACCTTCTCCCCGGTTTGTGATTGGTCCGACATTTATCATCCAATTATTCCGCTACATGGGTTTGCACCCTGAGGGTGCCATTACATGCAGCGCGGAAACGCGGAAACGCGGAAGAGATAGTAACTAGCCTTTACTAGATTCCCGCGTTTCCGCGCGTTCTGTTCCGTCTGTTTTCATTGCCTTATATTACATAGAGCATATTTTGAGCGGAAAAGCGGAACGGAGAATTATAAAATATTAATTTTTAACGGTATTTATTGATTAAAATGCTTGTATTCAATAGATAAGCTGAAAAGATAAGCAGATTAATAAAAAGTGCAATGAATTAAGTGAACATAATGTTAAAAAATGAATACAAATGTTTATTTGTCACCATACCGTTCCGCTTTTCCGCGTAAATTGTGCTCCATGTAATATAGGGTAAACAAACTCGCGGAACGAGAGCGCGTCAAAATCCGTTGTCAACGCGGAGGTTGTATGCAGTGAATACGATCAAATTTCAAGCAGATTGAAAAATAAATCTTTTATATACTTTGATTCTTTTCAAAGTGGCTGTGTAATCAGTAATAATGGATCCAAATATCATGCTGATGGTCATTATGAAGTATCTGAAACAAGCAAGAGATGAACCGATACGATACGCTGAGATAACTATGCAAAAAGTAATTCGTCTATTTTATTTGTACATGCGTTACAAGGAATTGCAAGATGACAGAAAGAACCGTGAAATGTGGGTACGGCCTATTTTTACGGAGAGGAGAAGACTTCTGCAAGGTGACAGCGACAATCTAATTGTGGAGATGCGATTGGAGGATCCGAATAAGTACTTCAACTACCTCAGAATGTCAGCTGTAATCTTCAACGAGTTGCTCAATATTGTCGGACCTTTGATCGAAAAGGAAAATGTAGTTCGGAAACCGATACCGGCCAGAACGAGATTAGAAGTGACTATACGATGGTTGGCATCTGGTGACAGCATGACATCGTTATCGTATGCTTATCGCATTGCCCAATGTACGCTATCACGAATAATTCCGGAAACTTGTGAAGCAATTTGGCTCGCCCTAAAGGAAAAGTTTATGATTGATCCAACCGAAGACAATTGGAGAACAATAGCAGAAGACTTTGCGACAACATGTCAATTTCCAAACTGCATAGGCGCTATCGATGGAAAGCATGTCGTAATTCAGGTACATTATGAATTTATTAATATTAATTCAGATTCATTGATAATGCAATGATGTATGAAGCTTTTGTTATTAATGTATGTTATCACAATAATATGATGTTTTCAAATTGCAGGCACCGCCTCGTAGTGGTTCCTGCTACTACAACTACAAAGGAAACCATAGCATAAACCTGCTCGCAGTAAGTGATGCCAAGAACCGCTTCACAATTGTTGATATTGGAACTGAAGGGAGGCAAAGCGACGGAGGTGTTTTTGAAAGCAGTGGATTACCGCATCTATTTCAGACAAATGCTCTCCATATCCCTCCATCTACGCGTCTGAATAATATGGATTTCGAGTTTCCAAACGTTCTATTGGGAGATGAGGCATTCCCCCAGAGCAGACATATGATGCGACCATACTCTCGGAGTCGACGGCTGAATATTAGCCGAAAAATTTTCAACTATCGCCTGAGTCGAGCAAGGAGAACGGTTGAATGTGCTTTCGGGATTTTGGTTGCAAGATGGAGAATATATCGTCAACCTATTCTTGCATGCACATCTACTGCTGTAAAAGCAGTACAGGCCACGGTTATCTTGCATAATTTTATTATTAATCAAGAATTAGACTTACCACTTGCAGAAAGACAGTACTGTAATATACAAGAAGAGCGCAACCTCTCGGCTACTAATGAACTTACAGACATACGTAATAGCAGTTCGCGAAAGTCTAAAGCACTGAAGATTCGAGATAACTTTGCTCACTATTTCGAGCATGTAAATCCTCTACCGTGGCAGTGGGACAAAGTTTTAACTAACAACTTTTGACAAGTATTAATATTGTTTTAAAAAGTATTTCACCGCACAGCATTCGTTTGTTATCTATTTTGACGATATTCAAACTCTTTGTACAACAACACACACATAATAAAAATATATTTTATTCCTTATGACAAATACAAAAAGTGGAAAATTTATA